TAAAAAAAATAGATGATTGTACCGGAATAGTATTTTTCGATTGTTATAGAATTTGAAGTACACTATAGAGTCTTACTGGTTTGTATTAGCTTCTGGATCGGGAGGAAGCGATGCTGACTGCTAATCGAAGACATGCTGAGGAATGCGCAAAGCTACAGCAGAGCCTAGACGAGGCTGTTCTACTTGAGGTAACAAACTGACGAATCGTTTTTTGTGTTCGAGCTCGACTTCTTTTTGAACTTAATGATATTTCAACGGTAGTTCGGTTTAGCGGTCCACTGAAGGCGTGGCTGAAGATTTAAGAAGAAAGTTGGCTGAAGCTGAAAACGAGAAGACTCTAATGCGCGAGATTCAGATGGCTAGTGAAATGGACCTGATGAAGGCGATGGTGAGAATGCAGGATACTTTTTGGAATATGGTACTTACTATAATCTTGCTCATGATAGGACGAGATGAAAGTTCTCAAACGCTCCTTGGACGAGCTCCAAGAGAAGGAAGAAGCTCGTAAGGAAGCGATCCTTCAGCGTGATGCTGCTGAGAGAGAACTTAATGACCTGAGGAATGAGTTGAAGGAAAAGTCAGAATACTTTGACACAGAAATGGCTCAAATGAAGGCCTTGAAGGAAAAAGTGGGTTTTTCGGAATGTGCTTCTCGTTTTTAAGTTGTAACTGTTGGCGGTACTGTAGTTGATAAGGATGGGGTGCGAGGCGGCACACCTGATTCCGCGTTGCCGGAGGAGAGCGGCGTGGATCCTGGTCGTTGGCATTCTTCTAAGGCAGCGTTCAAACATCGCGATGACGCGCGTCGACGCGCCACAATTGCAACAGCGCATCAATCCGGGAGACGTGCAACAGAATCGTCCGGGGCAGCGCCCGCGGCACGCGGCGCGTCGCGCGGCGAATGACTCAGCAGCTCACTTACGTGCATTTGCTAGCCGATAGCTTTGCGACTGGAGCAAATGATTTACTACAGCGTACATCCGCAACATTTAGCAGGTTTCATCAATGATTGAAAATCTAATGATGTTTTTCTTGATAGTAACACACAATTGTTTGGCGGTTCCATAAACGCAACTTCAGGAAATAAACAGATACAAAAGAAATCAGATAAGGCCGTGATTCTCCCTATGTTTATGTGGTTCACATGATTTGCGCAGTCGCCAGCGTCAATATAATAGACGGATGGCCAAGTTTTTCTGTGAGCTGCTGTAAAAGATGACAAACCAGAGCAAATGTTAAAGACCCCAATGAATTTCGTGCTCTATTGAACTTTTTCATACTCTAACTGAAAACTTAACCGTC